ATTTGATCCTGCTGAATATTTATAGGCTATCATAAATAAATAGATAGATAGATAAATAAATAAATAAATAAAAATAAAGTAAAATTCTGGCCTAATCTTTCATAGAGGCTTCCTAGTTTTAGTACCTAAAAAAATTTTCCAAACTTTTTCTTCAAAATGAGATTATTTTTAAAAATTATCTCATCTAAACCTCCACTAATTCCAAAAAACCTATATACAACTTCTTGTCCTTGTTTTTGATTTTTTAAAATTGTGATTTAGAGTTTTTAAACACTTCTTGTACACATATTTCATTTGATCCTGCTGAATATTTATAGGCTATCATATATGGAACATATTAGCTATTCTTAGTTATTTCACTTTATAGATGAGGAAAATGAGGACCAAAGAATTTGAAAAGACTGTACTTAGGTCTTCTGAGTGTAAATGCAGTGCTCTTTTCAGTGTGCGGAGCTACCAAGCTGCCTCCCAACATTTAGAGTTATCTATGCCATTGCTGTCCTGTAACTCTACATCCTAAGGGAATTCTCAAATTTTAAGAGGGTTCAGCTACTAAAAGAAAATAACCTGTTTATTCAGTGGACCCGAGGGGTAATTGTAGTCCTATCTGGTTTCCATCACTGCATTTCCCCCCCAGCTAATTCTTGGCTCACTTGGAAGTGTTAGTGCTGCCTCACAGAGTCTTCCTTAAACACTGTCAGAGTTTGTGCTCCAATTACCTGCTTATGTTTTGGTGGGTGACTTATCTTGCTTCTGCTTCTCTCCTGGGCAAAGTTCCAATGACAGTTTTTACTTGTAAGAAAGAAAGGATAGATAATATATTTCTGGACTTAAAAACAAACAAACAAACAAACAAAACAATACTAACATAGCTAGTCCAAGTTAGAATATAAATATTCTACATTGAGGACAACACAAGAAGCCAGCTGGGAAGACACTGCAGATTACAAATTTGGATTAGCCCAGAATCAATTTCAGCCTTTAAGTTAAAAGTGATATTTTAAAATTGATGTCTTTAAAAGTATGCAATCTTAATATTTTGGAGATTAAAAAAAAAAACTTTTGTGAACTTATTGAAATGTGAATTTACTGAAATGAAAAAAAAAATTAATTTGACACCAAATGGCAAACGGATCTCAGAATGCTCACCGTTTAGGGATCATTCTTGTGATACACTTAGTTGGAAATATTTTCTGTGGGACTTATGGCCATAACTGGACCCTATAATGGACATCAGATCCCCCAAAATGTATTCCCAGTATGTATATTTGTGTTTATAAACATTATAAATAGTGAAACACATTGAAATTGAACTCACAAATGGAATAAACCAATCTATAATTCTACCATCATGGAACATTACCTATTTCACATATTTTCATCAATATTAGATAATATGTCTTTAAAATATTCCCAACTTAATACTTACAAATGAAATTTCTCTTTTAATTTTTCTTTCTGTAGTACTTGTTATTTCCAAATATTTACTGTTTGTCTATCTATATGTGTTCTTTTGTAAATTTTTCATTCAAGTCTTTCTCCAATTACACACAACCCTCAATCATACTATTATTCTT